GTCCAGAAGACCTATACAATTTTTTTCTTTTTGATTTTTTACCTGGATTACTGAGATGCATCAGGACATTTTAGATATTTAGCTGGAGTAAATTCATTCAAACAAACAAATACTCCTTCATCTTTAGCAGTGGGTTCATTAGTGTTTAGCCAGCGGACACCTCACTTAAAGAAGGTCAAACTGAGCTTAAGCGAGCCTTGATTAATGTCCCAGTGTGTTGTAGGGTCAACATTAGAATAAAACCACAGTCTTGGTTTGTATCCAGGGTTAGACGGGTTGAATAAATGTCTGTTGTAATGTCTGGCTCTTGGAGAGTTTAGTATTTTCTGAGGTGGTTGTTTTTGTTTGACGTGACAGAGAGAAGTCGTGTCAGACTCCAGCACAGCCACGGTGTCGGGGCTGGAAGCAGGACTGGGTTACTGCTTCATGGTGGCAGCTTTCATCCCCAAACGACCCAAACCCCGGCAGCATGGAGCCTGGAGCCAACAGCAGTGCAGCCAGGCAGACACACACATCCTGCAAGGTACACACACGCTTCCTGTATACAACACACAACTATACTGTGGTACACAACAATACTAATCAGCTGGATTCTGAATAAACTCAAAAGATCTTCTACAAAAACCTGTTGATCCTTCAGCAGGTAACTTAATTAGTTCAGTTCCAGGGGACTAAAAGAACCAAATCCACTTTATTTATTTATATGTTTTTTTGTTTGGTGCATGAAGGTAACAGTAGGAGCTGAAATCATCACCAAACTCGAGTTCACAATAATAGTAATTAAAAAAGGAGATTGAAACTGCTTCATGAATGTCTCCATTTAATCACCAGCATGAAATATATATATATATATATATATATATCACTCATAAAGGGAGAAGTAACCATGCTAAGTTAATAATTTAAAGCACAATGATTACAACGCTTGGACATCGTGTTTGTCTGTCTGGTTTGAATTTTGGCTTGTGAACACTTGATCAGGTTTGTTAGGAGGCAGAATACTCGTCTCTTGTTTTCACATTAAGCATGATAATTTTTTTATTCAAGTTAAATTAAGTTATTTCTATGCAATGTTTGGACTGATGGCAGCATAAAGCATTAATAATGTGTAGATTCCACGTGTACACAGTGAAATGACAAGTGTAGCTCAGAGTAATATGGCGACCACAAATCTCATCTAGTGATGTCGGAGGCCAGAGATTTAGAGTTTCAGTTTTATAGTTTTCTACCAGATTTCTATAAATTCAGTCTCTGTATTCATGTGGCTCCAGAAAACCCTGTAGTTCAACTGGTCAGCTGGTAAACTGGATCAGTGCTGCCCTCTGCTGGACAAGAGTTGTGTTCATCCATCCATCCATCCATCCATCCATCCATCCACCAACATCCATCCATCCATCCATCCATCCATTCATCCATCCATCCATCCATCCATCCATTCATCCATCCATTCATCCATCCATCCATCCATCCATCCATCCATCAACATCCATCCATCCATCCATCCATCCATGAAAAACATCCATCCATCTATAAAAAACATCCATCCATCCATCCATCCATCCATCCATCCTTCCATCCATAAAAAACATCCATCCATCTATAAAAAACATCCATCCATCCATCCATCCATCCATGAAAAAAACATCCATCCATCCATCCATCCATCCATCCTCCAACATCCATCCATCCATCCATCCATCCATCCATCATCCATCCATGAAAAAACATCCATCCATCATCCATCCATCCATCCATCATCCATCATTCCATCCATCCATGAAAAAACATCCATCCATCATCCATCCATCCATCCATCATCCATTCTTCCATCCATCCATAAAAAACATCCATCCATCCATCCATCCATCCATCCATCATCCATTCACCAACATTTATCCATCCATCCACCAACATCCATCCATCCATCCATTATCCATCCATCCACCAACATCCATCCATCCATCCATCCACCAACACCCATCCATCCATCCATCCACCAACATCCACCCATCCATCCATCCGTCCATCCATCCACCAACATCCATCCATCCATCCATCCATGAAAAAACATCCATCCAGCATCCATCCATCCATCCATCCATCCATCCATCCATCCATCAGCCATCCTTCCATCCATCCATAAAAACATCCATCCATCAACATCCATCCATCCATCCATCCATCCATCCATCCATCCATCCATCCATCCATCATCTGTCCATCCAGTCAGTGTGCAGGAGACAGGGTACACTGGACAGAGCCAGCCACATAGAAACAAAAACTCTCACACCTAGGAACAGTTTAGCATTACCATTGAACCCAACATGCCTGTTTTGATCTGTGGGAGAAAACCCACATGTGCACAGAATGTAATCTCCACACAGAAAGGTTCCAGACAGAGCTGAGATCTCCTTACTGGGAGGAGACAGATCTGCCAGCTGAGTTGTGTTCAAGCAACAATAAAACATTAATTATTAAAAAACACGATTAATTTTTTTAAATCAAAATCTAATTAAATTTTTTAAACAACATCCTTGGTGTTCGTATTGTCCTTACCTCTGACTCTCTCCGTCTTTCAGAGTTAAGTTTTGGCGCTTGGGTCGGGATTGTCTTGACCCTGCTGGTAGTATTCGTCATCATCATCACAGTGAGTGTCATCTACTGCCGAAGACGCAACAAAAGAAACACATCGCGCCACACATCTTCATCACCCATTTAGGACCCTTTATGATCTGATTTATTTTTGATCCTTCACATCAGCTGGTCTCCTTGGTTTTCTGTTTCTTTATTTTTCTAAGGAAACAAAAAATATTGTTTGCAGCTCCTAACCTGTGGAACCACCTGTGTATACAGACGAGTCAGGTTTCAACTCCAGTTGAAAAAGTATTCACCTCCTCAAACCTTTCCACATTTTGTCTTGTTACAGTTAGAAACTTAAAGTATTTTGCGGTGATTTTACGAGGTAAACACAAAGTAACACATACTGTGCAGCATCAGGCTGTGCTTCAGAGAGGATGGGAACGTGATGGAGTAAACAACAGAAGAAACCCGTTAGAGGTCATCAAAGGCTGGGTCAGAGGTTTATCTCATTCATTCATTCATTCATTCATTTTATTTATCATGTAAATGGTACTGCATATAATACACATCTCAGAACAACCACAGAAACAATGGAACTAGTTACAGTGTTTCAAAGTTCAGACCTAAATTTAAAAGAAAATCTGTGACAAGAGTTGAAATGTGCTGTTCACAGGTGTTCATCCTGTGTGAGTGAGCTGCAGCCGTTTTACAAAGAAGAATGAGCAAAGAGTTCAAACTTCAGATGTGGGCAGGTGTTAGAAACAAGCAGGGGTTCTGCAGAGCAGCAACTGTAAAATAAAAAGCTTATCTGAGGAAATGTGTAGAAGCAGTGAAGACGACTTGTCAGAGTTTTGGAGGAAAATGTTGTCCCACTCTTTTATCTGTCCAGCAGTCCTGGGTCTTTTTTTTTTTCATCACAGAACAGTTTTTTTAATTGTAAATGAGCTCTGAGATGGAGGTGGTTCTGAACAGTCATGTTTCAAAAACACAGTGAATCTGAATCTGGTGCTGAAGATGTTTTACTTTTCATTTAAGAAGTTGTTCACGAGCCTCTTACCTGTGGGGAAACGAAGCTGTGCGTTCTTATACCACTGACTTTTACAGCCTTTTATTGAGCTGCTCCCACTTTTTGTGATGTTGCTGCCATAAATGTCAAAATTAGCTTTTTTTGTTTTGTTTTACAGAAAAGAAATTAAACATTTGATATGTTTACTATATTGCACTGTAAATAAAATATAGGTTATTAATCTTTTGAGTTCTTTTATTTACATTTTGACATTTTTTTAAGAATTGCTGTTGCACTTTGAAGTTTGTGGCTGTAATGTTACAAAATGTGGAAATGTTTTATAAATATCATCTTAAAATATATTTGTACTCATTTTTTTGTTTCATTATGAATGTTTACAATTTTTAATGTACAGCACTGTTATTAAAAATGTCTTATGAATAAATTAAACTTGTAAATGTTCTTGTTTACAGTGTGATATAGTCATTATTTTAGGGCCATGCTCACCTTGGTATTCTATTTTACTGCCATTCAAGTTGGAATTTAACTGGATTCTTTTATTTGAAATTCAGTAATGCACTTATACCAATCATGTCTGTTCAGGTCAGTAAATCATGGTCCATCATTCTTCATGTTTGAACAGCTCCAGCTCTTTTTTTCTTCTGGATCCCTGATTAACGCCCTCCTCACCTGCTCTCGTGTTGCGGACCACCCTCTCCTGGCAGGTTTGCAGCGCCATCGTCTTGCAAATGCAAATGAGCTGTGCAGAGATACTGATCCTAAACTCTAATGGTCAAATTTCTGTAACTGATCACATAATGCAGCTGTAAACAAAGACGAGGATATGTTTGCTGTTTGTTAAACACTATTTTTACACAAACGGATCAGTCTTGCATTAAGATCGAAATAAAAACATTGAATTATGTAGAAATTGTGTTGGAACAATGAAATTTGAATCAAAAACTTTTAAAAATCGCTTATTTTTGACAGTTTTTATAGCTGTAAGCATGTTTTGGGTTTAATACCATTTTCCGTCAGCAGGGGGCAGCACCTCACAAAAGAGACGAGTTTTTTTTTTTTTTTTTGGTTTTGTTTTTGGTCAGGGAGCATTTCCGGTTCTGACCAGAGCAGAGTCTGACCACAAACACCAGAGCCTGGGTTCATGTCTGTAAAACCAACCTGTCTACAGAAGGAACGGTAAGTATTGCTCTCTGCGGTTTTACAGACATGCTTGTTGTGTTAGACATAAGACGAGATGTAACAGGAAATAAAAACTGATAATAAGCTTCAGTTAGCTGTAAGGAACAAGTTCTGACCGGGTTTCTGACCCCGGGGTCCACTTCTATTCTTTTTCTCGCTTCTTGTTAGGCCTCCGAATCGCGAGGATGTTTTGGAATGCGAGATAAATGGCTGCTTGTCCATCGCCTCGCATCCAGTTATGTTAGACACCACTTCGGTACACAATCATAATAATTAATAATAATAGGTGGTTCTGAAATGACGTAACGAGTTTCAGATCACGTGACCGAGTCCATCTTGGTGGGCACGAAAAGCCGAAGTGGGGTGTAGACGTGGTAGTTCGTTTCTTTGTTTGTTTTCTAGCAATCATGGTCCAAGTTTGCGTTATTGTCGGCTGCAACAACGGTGCCGGTCGTGGGGCCGTGAAACGGTCCATTTTTTTTTAATCCCGAAGGTCGTAAAACACCAAGGAGAAGCAGCTGAAGAACTGTCAGCAAAGCGACGCGACTTGTGGCTGGCGAGAATTAATCGCAAAGATTTCATCCCATCCAAAGACGCCAGAGTTTGTTCCGACCACTTCAAATCTGGTGAGTGACAGCAGAGTAAAACAGTAATAATAACAAAATAAACAGTCAAAGTCAGCTGAACACTGTGCAGTCCACCCCTGTGAATGTGCATTCTCGAAGTCGGCGTGATGGCATTATTTAGTCACGTGATTTCAACCTCCCATTTTTTTTATGGGGGAAAACTGCAGCTGAAGGGAGCAGGAAACACGATAATCCTGTGGGAAAAACACCGCTGTACATCTTTCTCTTAAACAGAAAAAAATATAACCCCCCAGACCTCATTTTTGACTGAGGCTCAAAGTTATCTGACAAGAAGTAAAAAATCTACAGGAAGAAGAAAATAAAAAGAGGCGAAATTTGAATGGAGATTGGTGGCAATGAAGAGCCGGTGAGAGCAGGACTTTATTAATTAGATCTGTGACTTTAACATGTTTGGATTTTATAGTTAGTGTGTAGCTTTGAGTGTTTGCTCTTCATTTTAGCCAATTTTACTGTGTTTTAAATTAAAACAACAAGGCAATTATTTTTAAACAAGAAGCTCGGCGGTCTGCAGAGGCAGAATGACACGTGTCATTTCTCTCCCCACACTCTTGCAGTTAGAAATTATATATATATTTTTTAATCTCTGGATGTTTTTTTTATGTGAGAAGTGCAGTCCTACAGCAACTTTTCACCATTTTTCCATTTTCCACATACAGGAACTCATCCTATTTCCCCCCAAACCAATATGTCAGCCTCCGTCTACAACATGGTCACGTGACAAAGTAGCCGGCTGTTCGACTTTGAGAATGTAGACTTTGTCAAGTTATAAACGGCAGAAGCTCAGGGCAGGTTTTGACATTGTCAAATGTGTGTCTGTATTTTACAGGTAAATCTGCTGCCCTTTTTGATCACTCAAATCCTGACTGGGCTCCTTCTCTTAACCTGGGCTATGACACGTCTGCAGATTCAGCCAGAGAAAATTCATCAAAAAGGTTGAGGTAGGGCTGGGCGATATGGCCTAAAAAAACTATTTTTTCATCCCAAATTAGATTTTCGATTTTAATCAATTTTTATCGTTCCTTTGCTTTCTTAAACACAAATTACAGAAAATATTTTTAAACTCTTTTATTTGAACCATCCCTTAATTGACCTTAATCCCAGTTGACCTTAATTCAAAGTGCAATTAAATACAAGCTATACACTCACCGGCCACTTTATTAGGTACACCACGCTAGTAACGGGTTGGACCCCCTTTTGCCT